TTTGGAAATATTATTAAAGTCATATCTCTCTATATATATATATATATATGTGTGTGTGTGTGTGTGTGTGTGTGTGTGTGTGTGTGTGTGTATATGTAGAGCCTCACGGTGCTCGTTTTAAGCTCGCACGAGCGAGCGAGCGCGTCGGGTGACGTCGCGCACGAGACGGACGACGGTGTGCGCGGTTTTAGCGAGCGAAGAAGAGGCGAGAGAGACAGGAGAAAGAGCGAGGAAGGAACAGAGGGCCTCGGGCGAGTTGTATAATATGAACGCGCCGCGCCGGAGTTTCGGCAGGCTATAATCAATTCTGATTGCAGTCCAGCGGATCGCAGCGCGATCCACTGGCCGATAGCCGAGAAAAAAGTCAGCGCTTCCAACTACCGGGCTGCCACGGTGGTATAGCCGAAGAAGCAAGGGAGGACGCGAAGGGACAGAGATAAAGTAAAGGGAATAAGGAGAGAGGGATGGCGCGCGAAAGAGACACGGAGCGGTATCGGAGAGTAAAAAAGGGGGGAGTGTATAAAAGCGAGGGAGAAACCGGTGAAACCGAGAGGGAGACAGGGGAGAGATACGGGTGGGTGGTTGGAGGAGAGAAAACACGGAGAAGAAACGAGTTTTCGACACGAGTTCTCGGGGGTGCGAGTTAATCTCGACGTTGCAATCGTCTATGAAATTCGTCTACGAGTCGAGCGGGCGAATAAAAACACGCAACACCGAGTTATATATCGATGGGTCCGCGATCTCTGATTCCGAGACAAGCATCACGCATCGACCGAAGGCGATCCCAAACAGTCACATTGTCGTTCTTCGCCTTGGCTTGCTTTCTTTTCTATTCAAGATCAATCTCTTCGCGCAATCCGCAGCTTTTATGCTGTAACGCGTCGCGAATTACTTTATACATACAAAATTAGCGAGAGCAACGATATCGTACTCGAATTAAGTGCTCTAGAGTCTCGTATGCGTAAGGGTTCCGTAAGGGCAAAGACCTCGCGCTAAACTATGCATGCCTCTGGCCTCGGATCCAATCAGGGTTAGAGGCAATGTGTTGTCCCGTCGAGAGAGAAAGAAAGAGAAAGAGAGCTTCGAGATATTTAAACTTCCGTACTGGGAAAGAGCTTTTAAAATGAAAGATAAAGTAACGAGAATTCTTCTTCAAGATTTACCGTTTCTAATCACTCGACATTATACTTGTCAAAATCGTCCAACTTATTAAAAATGAATGTACTCGACAGAAATGTTTGAAAGGACGGATGCTGTGGTTGTCTGTCGCGATCAATCTAGGAAGACGCGCGCGAGATAAAATTCCTGACGATATAAGAGGGGGAAAAAAAAAGCCAGAAATCCACACATCGGTGGCGGATATGTAATGTGCGAGTAACTCCGGCAACAACCTTGACTCGCCGCAAGCCATACTCGCGCGCGCTTCTTATAATCCCTTGTGTTCGCGCGCGTCCGGCCCCATTAGTAGTTGGCTGACCCATCATTCAATAACGCTCTCAATGTCTGTGCGACCGTGTCTCTCCGTGTCTTCGGACACACGCGTATGCGTGACGCGGCGATAATTAGGCCGAGTTTCCGCGCGAGGATAAATGCGGAAAGGCATCCTTCGCGGCCCCTCCCACTCCCCCGTACAATTTTTTAAATTAATTCTAATTTATATATACAATATCTAATTTTGTCTCTCCATATTTGCGATTAATTATAAAGTTAAATGTGTAACGAGAGTATTGTTTTTTTTTTTTTTTTTTATAAGATCTTAACGAGATACTTTGTTATCATCGCTTCGCCATATAGTGAGCGAAATTTTGATACAAAGTTATGTCATGGAATAACAGTGTGCGAATGTCAATGTACTCTAGGGGAGCCTGTCAATGTTAAAACGAGTGTCATTGAGATGCTGCGTGTATACGATTTAATCCAAGTGTTATGTCTACGAATGAATAATTCGTGTCAGAATTATATACATCGAGAGATTACGATATTAAATATTATCATTGATACAAAACATAACATGCGCATGCTGGCACATTTTGCGATAATGAATTCTTTATTACTTTCCGATACTAATTTTGTAAGCATATGACAATCTTCTCAAATGACTTTTTTGATAAAGTCATAAGATACATACACTTTATATTGATTGGCATTAATTTTTATATAAATGATATATAACATTATACAAATTATATTACAAATACATATATATATGCATCAGAGCTCAAGAGCAGGCAGATGACGGATGCGTATTTATTCAATTCCAAATTAATGAGCAGCATTGACCGAGGGAGACACTCGTATTTTTTTGTCGTGAAAAAAGTTCGAAACAAGTAAAGAGTTTCTAAAGAATCAATGCAAATACCGTATACTCTTTCGTAACAAATGATTCGGAACGGCCGCTAACGCTCGACTCGACAAGCAAATGCTACTTCTTATTCATATCGATGCCAATCGGCGTCAAATGCTACACGATCGTTTATGTTAAATTATCATCTCTGTGGTTTTACCGACCGTTTTACCAGAATTCCTGGAGCTGACAAACGCGTAGTAAGAAGACGATTTCCATAGACAAATTTTTCGAGAATCCATCCAAACCGGCATAATCACTATAACATACAATTATCATTCAATTTATACGTCTTTTTTTATGTATGTATATTCGTCTAGGATTATACAATTCGCCAGGATCGATTTCATAGCGCGTCATCGTGATAACACGCGACAGGTCGCGTGGTGCGATGTGAATCATTCGTGACATAATCGGTCAATGAATCGCGCTAGAACGGTCATCTATTAATTTCGCTACTCGAGAATGGAATCAAATGATAGAGTTAAAAATCACGGCGATCGAAAACACACTTCGTTGCCACTTTCTCAAGCGGCATCGCATGGGAGACAACGATACGTCAATGTCATTCACGCTGTGTGTCACTGCGTTACGTACCAGGTGTCCAAAAATTAAGATCCAAAATCGCGAAAACAAACAAAGATTTTTGTTATATGTAAGAGAGAAAGAGATAAAATTATATTTAAAAAAATTTGAAATAAATATCAATTTTCCTTTTTTCTCATTCTCTTACAAGTCATATCTACATTATATTCATCTAGTTATTACAACTATAATTTTTAATGTACGAATTAATTACGTCTGACGTGTGTCGCTTATTGAACTATAAATAAATATTATATATATATATATATGTAAAATTTATTTAGTTATGAAAAGAAAGAGTCTCCATATCGAGATTTAAAGGAAAGACCAACGCTACAAGACATATATACATATAAAAAAAAATTTTTAGTTTGTCTTTTCCCAAGATAAGAAATCGCTTAATTTTATTCAAGTACTGTGTACATTACGGATTTCGGGACACCCTTTACACGCTTTCTTCGTTACGATGACCGTTGTGATTATACGTTTTATAAATACAGAGCGACAGACGTTCCTACTAGTTGCTCCGACATCGAAAGCACGACAGACAGGATAATTGATAGCGGAATGCTAATAACTCGTACGAGGCAGGCATTATAATAAGTTTTTTGCCCGGCGTGTGCCCCGCATCTAGCGTATTCTCGCTCTCCTCGCGATATGTCACGAGTGTTCTTTCCGCTGCTTATTAGCACGTAATTTGCTTACTTCAGTATCAGCTTTGTCGGACACGATTAATCGACATACGAGATTTTTTATTTATACCATTCTTTCTTAGTTAGAGCGATACGAGTCTCCGTTTATCGATAAAAAATAATTTCAACACGCGTGTATGCGCTTGTTTAATATGTTAGATTAATAGCTACATATATTAATACTTGTACATTGTACGGATTAAAACTTATATTTCTTATACAAGATCGATCGATTTGTGATAGTATTAGATTTTTCGCGTAGAAATATATGTATGAGTGTTATGTGTGTGATTAGAAGAAAAATATATTTTTAGTTAAATATACAGAGGGAATAAACGCGATCAAAGAATCAAATTTAGCTAGACATATATGTACGCGAGCTTCGCGCGCGCATTTTCTCCGGATAGATTAATAATTACATGTGTTACGGAATGAAAAAATCTTAATACAATTTGCCAGGGTATTAAGCGCACGAAGAGTGTAATTACAAGATACTGTTCTTACGCGTTGCTTTCCTCCGAGTGATTATATATCGCGGGATATGGGCATGGAGAGTGTTAATAATTGCGGTGGACGATGGAAAGCGTATGTGTATCCGTATTAAGAAGGAATGACATTACCGTGTTTTGCGAAATGAGAGGTTTCGATATCATTAATCTCTTCGCGTTAGATTGGCATTTTTTATTTATATATATATATATGGACACATATTATATAATTTTTATTTAAAGTAATTTTTAAAATTCTCATCAACAGATTATCACGTCTTTACGTCAGATTATTTTAATTTTGCAAATTATAATCACAACAAAACAATGTGTGGATTTGTGGACGTCTCAACCAAGAGAGATATTAACAGAATACTTTACATATATATATGTAGATTAAAAAATATCTAGTACTTTTCCAAGTATTTGCTTAAAGTGGGTAAACATGGGAGTACTTCTCCAGCGAAGAAATATTTACTAGGCAAATATCTGAGAGGCTAAGACAAGCGACCTCTTCATTTGCCGATGCATCTGGACTGGACAGTAGATGCAACGGCATTAGGCTTCCCGTAATAAAGTTTTTGTCGTTCTTTTCAGTCTTTGAAGGCTACTCTCGACTGCATCAAAGTGCAAATACAATGTCATATATTTAAAGGAAATAAAACGCTTTTTTATCGGAGCTTTATTAAAGTTTGATCAGAATCGTGCAAATAATTCGTGAATATATTTAAAAATACGAAAAGAATAAACTTTATGATATCGTGTAAATTATTAAAGTTATAGCATCGTATACATTCTATTTTACTAAAATCATCGAGATTACAAAAATTAAGGAAGTCGCTCTTTTCTTTCCAAAGGGCGAGGAGAAAGCGCGCGCGTTCTGGTACTAACCTGGTAGGGAAATAGGGGAATCCCTGATGGACATGTAAGTCCATGGGCATCGCAGGATGAGCGGGCCCATGATGCGCCGCGGCAGGCACGTACTCGCCACCGGCCGACATGGGGGGCTGCATCATACCCGCGGCGGCGGCCGCGTGGTGACCCGCGAGCATGGCCCCCCAATGGAAACCAGGTGCGCCCGGCATCGCCGACGGATGCTCCAACTCGAGGGCACGGTGACTTCCGCCGGCACCACCGACGATACCACCCCCGGCTGCGCCTCCGGCACTTCCGCCTCCGCGGTGCATCCGCCACCCTTCCACCACGAATGTCGATGGTATCTCCGTCGTCTCGGTCGATCGCGCACTCTTTTCTTCCCTCTTTCTCTCTCTCTCTCTCTCTTTTCGATATAATTCACTCAAACGTTACTACTCACTTAAACACTGTGTGCGTGCCGCGTGTCACCCTCGCACCCTCACCCGCGCCCGTACCACCCGCGCCGGTACCCGGGATAGGCCGCCGGCGGCCTTCTCCCGTCGACGAACGGGAGGGCTTTTCGATTCGCCGCGGACCTCTCGACCGCCGCACCATCGACCACCGGTCCTTTAATCGCGCGTTACGCGGTACTCCCGTGGACGCTGCATGAGCACCATGCGGCGAGTCGCGGCGTGACAGCTGGTGACTCTGAGAACGGCGGCGACGCGACGACGGAGAACGCGACGACGACGACGACGGCGGCGGCGGCGGCGGCGGCGGCGCGACGGCGGATGCTGCGGGGGAGACAGGTGTCCGCGCCGTAGTAGCGTATCCTCTGGCGAGCCGCTGCAGCCGGACGGACCCGAACAGTGGCGCAGCCTTTAGCTCGGCCATGAATGACGCGCCGTATTCCGAGTTACTTGACGGAGGCGGAGCCTCGGCCTACTCGCGCCCACGTGACACCTCCCGCCTCCATTCCCTCTCCTCATCGGTATCCTCTTTCCTCCCCTCTCATCACCCTACAGACGACCCGCTTCACCCTCTCGCGACCACGTGCGCGCGCGCCCGAGTACGTTGTCTCCTCTCTTTCGGAGGTTGTTGTTTCCTTCCTCTGTTTGCATCCCTCTCCGCGGATCCATCGAATTCTCGCTTGGTTCTCGTTGGTATCACCGAGAACATCCCATATGTATTCTCATGTCTCAATCTAATTTGTATAATTCAAGTATTCATAGGCGGCAGGGAGCGATTAAATGACGATAGATAAACTTATCAGGGGTAGTGGAATGCGCTAACAAATGCGTGTAAATGTCATTCGTTTGGATATTACGGATTCAAATTCTAGGTGAGATATTTCATGAGAAAAAAAGTTATGTGGACATGAGGAAAAAAACTAGTATCGGAAAAATTAATATTCGGTTCTCTCCCACGTTATCTTCCTCACACATAAGAGAAATGTTGACCACGCGCGGACCAGACAAGCGGATCGACGAAACCGTAGAGACGCACGCTCGTTTTGGCGTAACACTTGTTGAGTCACTTCGCTCCCTCGCAACCAAGTAAACGCGTCCCTTAGTGGACGTTTCATAAACGACGGCGAGAGAGGGAAGGTTTCGAATGCGAACTTTACCATTCATTCGCACGATCGATCGAAGATTTTATCTCGTCTTGACACATAACTAATTATTTCATATTATATACGTCTGTCGAATCTCACTGACAAATTTTTTACTCTGTCACACACAAATAATGAAAGAAACAATAATATATAAATAATTACTACAAACACAGCGTTTGATAATACATTGTTACCGTAATAACTGATTAAGCAAAAGAATTTAATACTTTTTCTGTCCGCCGCCGTTTTTTTTTTTTTAATTTTCGACCGTCGACAAATTATCGCACGACAATTGTGTTACTTCTTCTTACAGGGTTTCGAAATTATTACTTCTAATCAGAGATTCGCCGCGCGAATGGTAAATAAAAGCGACGCCTGTAACGTATACATTAAATCAGCTGGAGTTACGTCAGCCCCTCGAGTTGTAACCGGTCTACTACCATAAAAAATTTAATCAAAATGCCCTCTTGGTAATTTACAGCTCGCCCAGCCTCTCAACCCTTGCCAGCCAAGGTGACTCCGGCCGGTGGGTGGAGAAGCCTTGCTTAAGTAAGCCGAGTTGAAGTAAGGGCTGTGTGTGCAAGACGATAGAGAGGAAACAAACGAAAGTAAGAAGGGACGGAGATAAACCCCGTAGGAGTCATAGAACGGCAGTACGATGCGGCCCATTTGCTCTTTTCCGTAAAAAATAATTCAGTCCTCGCTCGGTTTGTCGTTAGGGTTCGTGAAATGGTTAAAGCTACAACTCGAATTTGCCAATTAAACCATATTCGCATCAACGCTATCAATTATTGTTATCGTAAAGCGTAATAATAATAAGATTCAAAAAATATTTCTTTTCTCTCCTCGTCAAAAATATAACAATCTTTTCTTATTTTTGTGAAAAAATTGGTCCAATAATATTACCAATTTATTATTCAAAAATGACACAATAATATTATTAAATATAATGTCATAATAATTACCATAATTTTCTATTATTTTACCAAGTATTATTCTGAGTCGATAAATCGAGCAGGCTATATTCACGAGCGCTACATTCGTTCTTTTGAGCGGCAATAATAATTTATTTACAACTTTGACTTTTTTATTGTTGGGAAGGGAGAGAACGGAGAGTGAACGTCGTCATGCCATTAAGTAGATTCTCTTAAGCAGAAAAATTGTTTGGCGCTGGCCTACCTGTGGGTACAGGTGTGAGTCGTAATAACATAGTGAGAGTGCCCTTTAACCTCTAATATCCCTACCTTCGCGCCGACTTCACTAAGGCCGCCGCAAACGGACGTAGGAACACGGTGATCATCGTACCTCTGTATCAATTGCAGGCGCATTATTATCGCGGATATACTTGGCGTTGGCTCGTATCGTTGAACTTTCGGCAATACGCCGCAATATCGCAAATTGTTGTCAGGACTGGCGACATGTATTATTTTCGAACATTCGCACAAAATGCGCTTCTTATTATATATAAATGCGTAATAAAAGCCTTCCTCGTCATCTTCGCATAGGATTAAGGGTATGGAATATAAAAAAAACACCTCTGAATAAAAATCCAAAATTTATTCGAGATGTCTAAAGTGTGTAGTATAATACTTGAAATCTTGAAGTATATTATCAATAAGGATACTTGGCATAATACTTTACAATCGTACAGTGATTCGTTGATATCATAAATTGTAACAGAAGTGTAATAGAAATCCGAAAGTAGGTGAGTGCTCCGCAAGAGTAATTGCACGGTAAACTGAGCAGAACAATATGATGATTTTATCGAGATCTATATAAATGAGGAATATATGAATAGAAGTCTATGCTGAAGTTAAAATGAGTTTAATTTCCGATCATTGCAAAGTAATCCTGCAAAGCCATTTACGCGTTTTACTTTTGCGTGAATAATATTTGAAAGTGTCAAAAATATTAAATAAAAAATCTTCATGGAAGAAATAAGGAGAATATATATTATTTAAAACCAAGAAAATTTTGTTGCTAAAAAATATTTTTAATATTTAATGAAATTTTTAACAAAGTAAAATTGTTAATTATCAATGAAATTTTGGTCACGAAATTAAAAGCAAATTAATAAAATCTTCGAAAGAAGAAATTAATAAACTAATTATGAGATAGTTTGCGAAACATGAATAATTATTTCCTTATAATAAATTTGTATTCATCGCTTCTATTTGAGCTTTAAACACGATATCTAAATACTATGTTAAACTCTCTTTATGTTTTCTTTATACCCTGTTCTTTTAATTCTAGTAGAAGATTATTAAAAATTATGTCTCACTCGTGTCTCAATTAGAAGCGTTGCTACACACACATACACATCTATTTTTATTAAGTATACTATTACTAATATTATCGCCAACTTTAGCGGTTTTTAAGACCGTCGTTTAATTTCTTAGAAAAAACTTATGATACGCACCGCTCAAATTTTATCATTTATTAATTTTAATTAATTTATTAAAAAGGTTTCTAATAATTTCTCTTGATTAGTGTGAAAAATTATTTCTAAACAAATTCAGATAAAACACGAAAATATTTTGAAAATATATTATCAATTCGTGCAGTATCACAATGATTTCTGTAAGTTAAACGATGATCGTCGAAGATACTGAATATCATAATACATTGTTCGCACTTATCGAACTGAATATTTTTTTATCTTTAATTATTTTTTTTCTGGAGCATCGCAATAACTATATACGGCTCCCTTTGATAATAATGAAAAAGGCACATGCAAAGTACACCTAATATAACCCATATAATATAAATGGATGTTGCGTATTCAATGATAAGCGTGATACGATCGTTACAATATTATCGAGTATTCCTTCAACCGCGTGCATATAAAATAACATAGAACAGACAATAATATAAGTAACGTTTTGATTTTTCAGGTACTTTATACATATTGTTATCTTTCGCGTACATAAGACAGATAAAATCATGTCGCGTTCGCGATACGAAAATTAACAGATTATAAACAGTTATTGTTACGATCAAAACCGCTTTAATTTTATCTTTGAATATTTATTATTTTCTTGTGCCCTGTTCTAAAAAGAAGTATTTTCTACTAATACTATTTAATTTTCATTAGAAATTTGCAGCAATTAGATTGCACGAAAGGCACTGCAATAGCATTTTAAGTAACACACATTGCATAAAAAAGATCAAATTAACTAATAAAGATAAAAAGAAAAAAAATGTGCGATATTCAATTACTTTATAATACTACAATCGTATAAATGTTATGTGTAAGTCTTCATATTAAATCGTTATGTTTTTAAAGTGCAAACTTACACTTGATTATCGAGTCTTATATTCTTGTCAAGTCAGAGTCTCTGTTTGTTTTTTTTTTTCAAGCAATTTCGTTGTGATAACGGGGGACGATTGTATTGTTATATTAATATATCTTATAAAATTCGATGCCATTAAGCAGTCATTAATCTCTTCTAACAAAGAGCAACTAATCATCATTCTTTCTTACGACAAATCTCTCATAAGTACGTATGTGTACTTTATTATTGAATAATTATAATTATTCAATAAATCCTTACCCTCGATAGCTATTCGTTCTTCGTATGCACGTTGCAAGTTGATTTTATTGCTAAAAGAAAAGAGTAACTTTTTACGTGGACTATGTCTTGTAAATCTGAAAAAAATAATCAGACGATCTCTCACGTTAAAAATCAGTTACTCTCTCGCGCCGTTGAATTATTAATCAAGATTCGTAGGAAATAGCGGAACTAAGATATATTCCCGTACAAATTAGGCCACAGGAACTATCTCGCAAATTGCTAGTGTCTAACTAGGCTTTCGACTGTGATTAAGAATGAAAGAAGAACTTTATTCAATACAATTTCGCGATGTTCTAACGAAATTGTATTTGTATTAAATTACGGTCTTGATAAAAATCAACGTCTATTACAGCGAAGACGATAGTCAAGCTAGAAGACTATAATCGAAAGAAGACTCTATCTCCACTTTCATTACAATTAAAAAAAAACCTTATTTTCTCCTGTAAATTTACCTTACACGCGTCGATGTTAAAAACAAAAACAAATATTTGGATCAACTCATTCTTCTTCTCGCGAATCTAACTTCTCTCGCATATTTCACGATTCATCTAACGCTCGTTAATCGAGATAATCGCTATTATTTGCGATTTATTACGACACGACAGGAGATATGTACAAAGGCTGTTCTTATTATCCTGCCTAACTCTCTTTCTCTAATACGTCTCTCAAAGAGCACGTTATACTTTAAAATAAAGTATGTAAAACTTCTGCAATATCATTGATGCGATGTTTGTACTGCATCTCTTTCTCTCGAGAATATGAAAAACACACTCGGTTTATTATATATATTATGTGAATTTCTCGTCAAAGAGATATCGATACTGAATAGTACAATATCTCTAGTTAATGCAACTCTCTATCAAATCAAGTCTAAGCATAATAATTATCGTGAATACCTCGATTTCTTAAACAATCGTGATAAAACTTTGCTCAACGAATATTCATACCATACAGATATTCACGTAACATAAGAAAAGTTGTTAGCGACCACATACCGTTCATATAAATCGATATGCTAGACTTTCTTTTGTCGATAATAATAAGAACTCGCAAAATATCTAGCTAGCAAAGTAACAGTGATTTGATATTTAGCAAATGTTTATAATTCTACTTAAAAAAAAAAGATACACGTTCGATATTATTTTTGCTATCACGATATTATTTAAAAAATTTTTTAAAACACGCGCAATATCAATCCACTATTACTTTATGTAGTTGCAATTGTTTTATTTCACATCGATTGTGTTCGCTCTCTCTATCTCTATATAATCCGCAAAATATCAAGACGGACTTACCGAAGGTAATCGCCTCTCTTATGAGGATCTTAAGATCTGCACAGGCATAGATCGGGATCGTTACGTAATACGCTTACATAGTAAGCATCGTGCAAATTGTAAATTTGCTATTAAACTGGGGCCCTAAGGCGTTTCTCGTTACTTCGCATCGCGTATGTATGTGTATAAGTTCAGAATGGCTACTTTCGGCATATATATATATATGTATAAACCGAACCATTCGTTCTTACATCATTTTCCTTCTCTCAAAAAGACTTTATAAAATAGATCTCCACAAATTACGTCCTCATACACATCATTCTATATCAAAAATTCTTTCGATACCTTTTCAAAAATGTCTTGTAAAAATTATTTCTCTTTTCGCGGGAAAATAATTTTTTCGCCTCTTAGCATACAAGTCGTTCTCTTTAAATCTATTTACATACAGACATCTTTTTATTTGTAATCCAGGTGCCTTCAAATATCAAAGACACACCCGTGAAAAAAAAATCGATAATTTTTTTTACAATTACGAGCTCTTGCTAATCTTTACGTTAATGAATCGTTTATAATCTTAAACGCGTATATATGTTTCTCTCGTGAAAAGCTCATATACGAGAAAATGACTGTTAAAATATATCACAATCTAAAATTTTCGATCATGTCAAAATAAAATATATAAACCGTCCGATTATATGTATATATGACGTTAAGATATCATCAGTAAATTGTATATTATTATTCACATGATATAAAAATGAAACAAAATAAAATAGAAGAGAGGTGCAAATTATTTCAGGAATGCTATAAACGCGCATGCAATAGATGAATGGATGCTAAACTGCACATACTATATGCACATGCATCCAAATTATTAATGTGCTAAGTAATATTTATTATTCACAATGCATGAGAAATAGCTTGTCGGAATAGAAATTCCGTTGCTATATAATTAAATACGGCACTTTCTATCTGAAATCAGTACATATCAATTATCATGCATGTGTCCCACAAGAAATTTGCATGCACAGGTTATTTTTCCGAGATTAATAGTATCTAATATAGCATCCTCTTTAAAGTATTAGTTATTTCGTATAGTTTTTGTGATATATATCGAATAAAAAAAATTTGTTAAAATTCGTTGTCACAAACGAAAACCATTAGAAGCGGTAATGCGGGAGAATGTTTGGAACAAATAGGAAGCTTAATCTGAAATCCAAGTACCATTCCCCGGTGAAATTCAATGTAAATGAACTCCCTTTCAAAACTGTATGAAGTCCATATTACGCTATCGATATTATCTCTTCTTCAACAAGAAAACTAAATATTATCTTCCCTTCGAAGAATAATATATATAGCGAATAAAATATATATAATATATGATCTGTATATATGTACATATATAAATAAATATTTATATTTCAACAATAACATAAGCTGCTGACTCACGCAATTCAAAACGATGAGGAAAAAAATGCACCGGTATGCATGAACTTATGTCGTCTCATTCTTGTACAGATACTAAAATATCCTCGAGAAGCAGCATATCTGGATATTTTCAATTATGACGTTCGAGAGATTCGTGACCACATTATCTTCGTGCAAATTTAATCAGTTGCTTAACCGCGAAAAAACTATCATTTTTTCTACGCGTAAAAATAGACATAGCATTGATTCGTATTCAGAATATGAAATGTACTCTTCGTTTTCCTATATTACGTAGTTTGATCGAATATTTTTAATAGCTTATACGTCATAACTTGTGACCAGAAGTTACGATTTTTTTATGTCGATAAAATTTCGCGTATATAATTCGATAGTAGAATAAAAACAAAAATATACGCGAGGCAGTGGAGTAATCAGTCGTTGAGCATGACACATACTGACAAATGTATCGTCTCTCGAATGCGTCGCCGAATTCAGACATTTAGAATTAAAATAATCTAATAATACGTCGATAGCGCTCGCGGAAAAAAATCACGAACAACTTTACACCGCAGACTTAATCGCTCTAATTAACGACGCCGCGCGTGTATCGGAACGGATATTATATTATCCATTTTCACCAAAAAAATCATTGATCCTTGGTGTCGATATTTTTTTTTCGATTACGCGTATATTACGCGCATATACCTGCCGTATATTTGCTCACACGGGCGGCAGTCCTTTGGGATCGCGGGACCAGGTCGGGGATAACAGCGTAGATAGCGTAGTCTCGCAACAGTTCGGCTTCAAAAAGTATTCGACGCACATCAGGACGACTTGCAGGCAGACAAGGACGAAACAGCAGCTCTTTGAACATTTGAAGATTCGCCAGACCCAGCTCCGAGGAATAGGCTCGCTATCGGGGTTGTCGCCCTTAGCAACGTCAGCATAGTCCTTCGTGATTGACACCGATTCCGCGTCGCTCTTGGGCATATCGGCATCATGATCAGATGCTTTCTTGCGCTTGCTAGAAAATAGGAAAACAAGAAAACAAATATTTGAATGGTCGATACGATAGCGACTCATATGTTCAACGCCGCAAAGTACGTGATAATGAAATATTTGTTGTCTTGTCTTTATTTAAATTATTATTTTTATATTATTTTGGATTATTATTAATCATTTATTTTATTTATATCATAACTTACTTGTCGCGTTTTTCTTTCATGAATTTTATTGTCTTGCGGTCCTATTTGGATTATTATTTTTGTAATAGTTTAAATTTTATTTATTATCATTTTATTATTTTATTTATAACTCATAAGAAATTTCTCCGCGCTTTTTTATATATTATAACATATACCATAACTTACTTGTTGTCTTCCTTTTCTGAATATTTCAATCTTGAATCGTAATTTTATTTAATACGTATGACACTTTGATATAAATCTTGTTTCGTTGAATAATGTGTTAATCTGGTAGTCAGACGTATAGTCGACTACTTTAGAGGAGAAACTTGAACGAGTTTGCTCGCAACTGCGAGAAATTAATTTATGCCGTCCCACGGGTCATGATAATAGGAGTAAACCGGTAATAGCAAAGTTGGCCGGAAAATCAATTTGGAGATGCACGTTACTTGGAAGTTGTGAGATTGCGCTTGCAATTATATAGCTAGTGTTATCCTGCTTCTTCATTAAGATTACACATAAATGCACGATTATTTAACTTTTCTGCGAATATTCGCTCCATCTGCGCTTTAATTTGCAGACTGCAAGACGAAAGGCTTAAAACATCACGTTGCCGTTAAAATCTAACTGTTTACACTTTACGATGTGGAGGGAGATGAAAAAGAAGAAACAAAACGTGGCGAAAATCATCGATTGCGGAAAATGGCGCAGGGTTTTTATACCGTTTTTTTACGACTCGGCGTGGCAGATGCTTCACGCCCGTGAAAACTAAACCTCATCGCTACCACCGAGCGGTGATTGAAGGTGGCTATAAAAACATCTTTAAAACAAAGTTAAATAAGATATTCGCGGTGATAATTGGAATCTCAAGTAATTGAGTCGACGAACAACGGCATAAAATTGTATTTGTTGAATGAGAGAGGCGAAAAAAACTCCATGCTCTCTACTGGGTTTTCGCGCGGCGTAGCAATGCGTTATTTAATTCACTTTCGAATCACTCGAGTAATAATCATGATCGTTTTCTTAATCAACGTTAATGGTAGCTATGATATAACGCGTATTTTTCTGGCATAATAATATTGCAGAATGTTAGGAGTCTGAAAGAATGCAAAAAATTATGGAAAACGGCGCAGCTTATGAAGAGAACTGCAATTCACTTTATCGTCTAAATTTTCTTTTATGTTTTAATGTAAGATGTGCATAATCATAAGAGACGAGATGCACAGTCGTCTCTCGCTCGGAAAAGTTCTTATATTCAAATGAGTAGCCGTCTAATGTCTAGCGCTATGGACCAACGACCTCGCGCGTCCCCACATCTAAATAGTCGCCTTCATTCTTCACTTCCCATTTCGACGTTATGCAAATGGAATGCGAGCGAGAAGAAGGCGTTTCTTAATCCCGCGCGAACGAAGTCTCATTCTCAAATACTTCAATAAATTTGGGCGAGCATTCGCTCGTTTATCCGATTCGATCCCATCGTCTCATTCAAACAAGCGTCATCTTAAATAATGCAATATTAATTATTAGATCCTTAACTGGCAATGCCATTTATGTTTTCACGCGTAATCTTTGTACTCTCGGATGAAGATGAAAACAATTTTGGGGCATGTTATTGGACCATTATAAAAAAGATCTTTCGGTCTCGAGCCTTATCTAAATATCTGGCAGATATTTATCAGCGTTTAAACTTTAAGAGACAATTATTGCAAGGTAAACAAGCCCGTTGCGGCTCTTAGAAACGAAAACAACCGAGTATTTTTCTTATAACGGTCCAATACTGCACCGGAATATGAAAAATCGACGACGATAATCGTACTTACTCCGCAGGATAATGAATCTGGTTGGCTGCCGTACGCTTGGTGGCACGCGTGTCCATGTTCGCCGCCGCCGTGCGTACAACGAGCTCCCTGCACTGCTCTTGCAAATTGCGCAGATCGCTCTCGGCGTCCTCGTACCTCTTCCACAGTTCGACCAGGGCTTTGCTGCCCGGCCCGAGCTGTGCCTCTAAGTTACGCCTTATTCTGCGAAGATTCGCTAATCTGTGCTCGCGCTTGCTCAGCTCCTGCTCGCTTCCGCTTCCGTCGGAGATCCCGCTGTCGGAGAGGGATCCGCCCTCCTGCGTAAGATTGCTCGCGGAAGTAGCGGCAAATTTTACGCAGTGCATCTCCTCCGTCGTCGCGTCATTCAGCACCGCATCATTCTGAAACATGACAATCACAGAGCGCGGATAGTTAACAATCGTTATTCAACGAATATCACATAAATCACGTGATATAATAAGAAAATTATTCGCTCTTTATTAATAATATGCTTAATGCAGTTAATGTATTAAAAGTGCAGTTTCTAATTAATTATTGCAATATTTATCGATCATGAAAGTAGCTTAAAGAAGGAATCTTACAGGCAGACTTTACAATGAAACGGCAACGTGCGACGGATCGCGAGGTCCTGATAAGTGCGGGTATATCCGGGAGAGGACACGATATCGAATATTGTATAATCCACTCTTGCGCATCACCGGAGGGCATCGAAAAGCGTATAAGACGATTATATAGAGTACAGAGAGAAAAGGGAGAGGGAGAGGGCAAAAAGACGAAGGCGTAAAGTGGAAAGACGAGAATAACGCGGAGACGCTAGATGCTAAATTGATCGCGATACGTCAACCAACGTTTCGGAAGATTTGCATACGATTTTCGCGATAACCGTTGGGAACGTACGGGTTCAAAGACTTGTTCAAATTTTTTATCGGCACGATTCTCTCTTCTCTTTCTCTCATTCTCACGTATAAATGAATAAAGAATAAATCATCACTATATATTTTCGCAAGAGAAATATGCGTCTTGGATCAGATACGTTTGTACTATGAAAGAGCGACAGCATGGCGCGAATACTGGCGAGAATGCTAGTAGTAGCGGTCGAATAGTAGACAGACAGCCGAGAGAAAGAGAGAGAGATAGGGGTGGCTGCGTGGAAGAAAGGGTAGGTTTAGGCTGTTTGCAACGGTGGAGGGACGGAGGGAACGAGCCTCCGGTAATGAAAAGCGCGATCCGCATACCAAGTAGCAACCTTCAACCTCACCTATATATAAGTCGGTATATTCTTTCTCTCTCTCTCTCTCTCTCCCGTATAACAGATAGTAGGTACGAAGTGAGTCGAGACGGAATCCACGCCGGTCCGAAAGACCAATCACGCGCGAGAAAACTGCAAGAACTTCTTATTTCCGGTTACATTCGCAAAACATACACATACACATATATATATATATATATATACACATATATATTGCACAATAAGACGTAAAATATCTCGCATCGTGCGTACAGCTGCAAAAAAAAATCGACTCATTTATCTGCTAACGTAAAATCCGGCCCGATCCTCGAAAGGTGATAAAAACGAGGAAAAACGTGAAATTCCGCAAAATTATTTATATAATTATATGTATTAAAGCAATGAAAAAAAAAAACGCAAAAAAATCTCATTCGAAAGTGTATATTTCTTAAAATAGTATATATATTTATTATAGGTATATCTACTGTTATACAGCAGAGGATCGAAAGTGCGCGATTGATGAACTTGTTCGCGTAGCAAAAGAGAATTTTGAGTGACGACACGGACTACAAGCGCAGACCGGACAGCAGCCTCTCGTTCCACCTCCACACCGGCTGATATTAAATTTGTATTTTTACGCTGATTCCACGGGCCATTCCCGTACGTGACGCGAAAGGGAATCGTTCGGGCGATTAACGATCGGAGTTCCCTAGGGAGCCGCTGGTTCTGAGATGGCCAACACCCTCGACAGCAACTCGGACTCGCTGTATCCCGGCGCCGAAACTTATCTCCTCCAGCTTCCTACACAGCAGCGGCTCGCACATACATCGGCTAATATTTTATTTACTACCTATCAAAACTTATGGATTTTTTTGCGGCTTGTAAAGTAGCTGTCGGCCCGGACTCGTCACGCGATTCTATTAGTTTTGACGATTCAAGATAATGTAGAAAAAAAATATATGCGCGCGATTCGTACAAAAATCACATTTCTATAAAATATTTTTATAATTTTATAATTTATCATCACGTTCCGCCGTCTTGGGGATAAAAGCGCAAGGAAATAAAGAATTGTAACGTTACAAGGAAAAGAAAGACTGTAATGTCGAGTGCTTTATCGTAGCCTTCCCTCTTCTTCGGCTCTCAGAGACAGGGATGGTTGGAGAAAGGGGGGAAGGAGGGGGAAGAGGGATAGTCGAGAGGACTGTCGTAAGAGAAAGATGGGAGAAGAGAGGGACAAAGAGAGAGAAAAAAGGAGAAGCGTAATGTCAAGTGCATGAAATTATTCCCTCGAGTGCTGTAGATCGGCAAGACTAAGAACTTTCCGGATTATACCGCCTTGACGGGAGTTTGAATACGTTAAAATATAGACGCGATACACATGGAAAGGAGAAGAAACGAGACGAAAGGAAAGGCTCCTATTATTGGTGAGAGAGTATTGTGTCGCGAGTCGTACGTCTTCTTGACAGGCGAAATGAGCGTGGGGACAATTGGAAATTGTTATGAAGCACCTACAACCGATACGTAGGCGACAAGAACAGAGTCAGGTACAAGCTGTCAAAAATATCCTCGACTTATAGATAGAGCAATATTATATATAATATCTTTCATATCAATAATTGTCTTGCAACGAAAAAATTAATTTTTACTGTAATTAATAATAATATTATCCAAGCCGTTGCGTAATAAATTATTATTTAATTCTCGTAATACTAATGACGTTACATACTTAATTATAAACATTCATACGATGCTTATGATTACGATATTCGATATTATACGAATAGCTTCTATCAGATATGTGAATCTCCGAAGAACCGAGCAGTACGTCTTCCTGACAAGGTAAACGAGTGGGCCGATCGAAAATCGCGGTCGCGTACCTACCGCCGCACGCTGCACCTTCAACTATTCTCCTTTACGTCCATAAAGCAAAGAACCCAACGTAAAACGGGCTTGCCAAGAGATTTACTTTATATGCAAATTAAAGACGGATATGGTGGAAATAGGGGGATGTGATGGCGTTTAACGGAGACGCGATATCGACAAGTATCATCTGTCAAACGTACCCCTCCGACCTGGCCCCCTTCCTTTCCTCCTTCGAGTAACCTCGAGCGTGTTCAGGCTAGTCGAAGATTTATCTCTTGACGCGCGCCATATGTGTGTATATATAACGCAATATGTGTATATACTCTCATGCATGTATAATTTTTACTTTCTGAATGATTTTAACACGAAAAGACGTACAAATATATTCTTACTATCTTTGAATGATAAAACGAAAGAAAAAATAAGAGATTTGCATGACTTACTTTAAAGCATTATCGGAATAATAAATTGGATAGCTCGATATGATTCGAGCAAGATATGATTCCATTGCTTAATAGCGCATGTGCTAATCGAAAGAAGGAGAAGGTCGATACGGTATCTCTGGCAAATCTGTACCGCGCAATCCGAGGAACGCAATTTGCGAAGCGATTTAGCGTGACGTATCGGAAATACGGGATATACAATCCGCATTATAATCTCGCTTTCCTTTAGGTAAGTTACATCCCTGGGACCCGCGACTCTCCCAATCTATGCGGGGAAATGGTTTTATGCACACAAGCGATACCTCTGGGAACCGTTACCCCATCCACCCGACCTTGAATAATTGCTAACAGCCATCTAACCGATTGAAAATCAAGAACGCGATGGGGATATCTGACAAACGATTTGGGAAAGATTTCATAGTTTGCTAACTTTAATCTTGTCATATTGAGAAATATAAGTATACGATAAAAAGGATTTGCGCCAATTAAAAGAAAATGTAATTCAAATTCTTATAACTTTGAAAATGATTACTATATTATATACACGAAATTCTACTATTATTTTTCGATTAAATATGGTCAATCAAAAAAGATTTAATTTTTAATTTTTAATTGGGAACAATACCTGAGAATTGATGTCTTGTTTCTCGGACAGAAGTCGGGCGTAGTAACTAACGGAGGAAGTGATTCTCGGAGTGGCTCCCGCTTGCACGGCTACGTCCAAGACCGCCAAAGATTCTTTGTCCCTCTGTAGAGCGGATTGGAGTTCGGCCAAGCATGTACCAAACTGTTGTACGTCTTGCAAGGCGCGCAACTGCTGATTACATCTGAAAAGAAAAGCGCGGATGCGCACATTTATAAACTGCATCGCATTGCAAAAGCTATTATAATGATTATGCGAATTGAGAATGCGAATTTTTTCGCGTTACACTATAGATATATAAAATATCAATATAAGATACACAATATAATATTTTAGAAAATATTAGCAGTTTGAGAAAGAGAGAGAAAGAAAAATCTCTTTTTCTTTATTTCGTTTATTTCATATGAATTATTCATTACTTCTCGAAAGGGTGAATATAAAGAACGCGAAGCAAATTTGTGCAGAAAAATCATTCAAGTCAATACAATAAAAAACGGAAAGAGAGTAAAGCCATTGCGTAAACATTAAGACGCCGAATTATTAGTAGGCCCTCCCTCCGGCACTATCGGCAAATAAAAACACTTTATTCCAGGTCAATCTGAACGTCCCTAGTGAATGTACGAATGAATCGAGGAAGGCTGGTTGTGCCTCTTTCCCGCATTGGCGTATCCGTCAGAAAGGCGAAAAATTGATACGTTTATCAGATATAGATATTTCTAAATTCATAAAAATTTTGTATAGCATTTTTTTGGTTTTACAAATAGATTGTTTATTAATTGTGCGAATAACTCAAAAAGTTCGATAATTATTCTTTGTGGAAATCATCTCCCGCCACAAGAATAGAAGTGTCTTTCCATATCAAACGTAGGGATAGGATTGACCTCTGCAAATCCCAATGGGTCAGTGGTAAACCCGTTTGAATGGCCTAAACCCCTATCAAAGAGGGGACTCGAATGCTCATATGGAAATTAAAAGGGGGTTGTAATGATCGCGCTAACTATTCTTCGCTTACTGAAAGAAAAGTATCATTGCAAAAATATAGTTTGTATCATTTTCTAAGACAGTTCATGATTTAGTAAATAAATAAACGTAAAAAAACTGCAGACTGTTAGAAAATTTTTGATGACTAAATTAATTTCGATATTAAATATTTTAATATTTAGAGATCATTTCCTCTCTAATTTGTAAATTAAAATTACTTACATTTAAAAAATTAAAATTTGTAACTTAAATTTATATTTACATTCTAAAAATTAAAATTAATTATTCAGAGTGAATTAAAATAGAAATGTATAATTAAAAAAAGTGATTTATAAAGAAGGAGAGATGTATATTTAATATTTCATACCGATAAAATATCGGTAAGGTTGAGGCAAAAAAGAATATCGCAGAGAATCGAATATTGCATTGACCCTTTGAATCTCGATCTGTTCGCTTTTCTGTCGGAGCCGTCACGTAGAAAAGGTCCGTGATTAAACGCGATCTCCGTTAAAGCTAGTAATCCCGCGACACGGGTCAAAATCCCAACGAGAAGAGCCCTTACTGGCGGTACCTATGCCGCTCTCGGTTTCCGCTGTTTGCTTTAGTGGCTTCATTACCTCTCAAAATATTTGCCTAACGTCACACGTCGACCGGCAAACGGCCAGTCGATGATCCAGTACCGACTATTCTGTACGGGATATAACGTTGAACTCCGCAGTCAAGATATACTTCAAATTAATCAAGGAAACTATCATATCGTTTCTCGTATTAATATAGCGTGATTTCCCCAAAATCCACATCAAGTCATATATTAACAGGCTTTTATTCACGGAAATAAATTTCTAATTTCTAATTAATCATTTGTACGCTTAAAAAACAATCAAAATAAAACAAAATAAACTTTTAGTTTACAGTTTCAATCCAACCTAGTTTCAGTCTAACCCAGGTTGGACGGAAAGTTCGTTCCGTTTTTTACTAAGAGATGAAGACCGAAAAAACGGCACAAACTTTCCGTTCAGTTAATAACCAATTTCAAATGTACCGAAAAGTGTTTTTTCGGCTATTGACGGTTATTCGAAAACCTATGGAACGAACTACAATAACTTTGATCTCATTTGAAAGATAATTTAATTCTCTACAACTTTTGTTTCGATACTTTTTGTTAAAAGACGCATACTTTCCCTGATATTTGTAAAAATGTAAAAAATAACCGTGATTTTAGAGGTTTTTGGGCGCTAACTTTTTAAAGAAGCATTTTTCGACCCATGGTTATACGAAACTTTTTGTTCGGAATTAAATTATCTTTCAAATGAGATCAAAATGTTTGTAGTTCGCTCCATAGGTTTTGAAATAAACCAGTTAATAACCAATTTCAAATGTACCGAAAAGTGTTTTTGACGGTTATTCGAAGATCTATGGAACAAACTATTGTATATATATATGAGTTCTTTCATTTTATCCTCGAAAGTTGATTTAAGAAACAAGTAATGTATAATGTGCGAAACTGATCACTCACTTTTGAAAGGTCTCGTCATATATCCTATAAAGATCCGCCACGCCGTCCTTGAGGGTTGTGCACATTAAGGGCGCGGAGGCACCGAGATCAGTGATCAGTCGATGCGTGGAGACATTCAACGCGAGCATCGCAGTCTTGCGGTCATTCAGAACAGCTATGTCGGCCTGCAAACATAAAATATACATTTTTAGTAGCTGGCTGGCTCGCCTAACTCAAACGAATTACCCGCGCGGTGCAGGGGCAAACGCGCAGGGGTCGCTCGAGGGTGAAGGTGATGTATAAAGTGGCCACGGACTAAGAACTCCTGCTAAGAACACACAAAATACACGTGGTAGATCTAAGTGAGATATTTTTTTTTATGTACCGTATACATCGAAACATCGAAATACTTTCTTGATATGTATGCCGATCGATAACATTCCGTAGTTTATTTATTCTCGTGTCTCCTAAATTGATTTTTGATACGGAAACGTATAAAAGAGTCAGCATTTCGTGCTTGATAGACGCAGGATCGACGAAGATGTAGCGCGTCGATATAGCAAACACCGTTCGTTGGTCCTCCGATAGAAGAGAAGGAAATTACTTTTAAAGAACGGAAGAGACGAGGCAGAGGATATAAGACGCGCGAGATGACCGCAAGGACGAGCTTTACGAGCTTCCCTAAGGTCTCCTCCTCGTCACGCGATGAGCGAGAGAAATGGAACGGGAAGAGAAGAGAAACGCGGGGCTCTCGTTTTCGTTCTCTTACGTCGCCCTACGTCGCCGTCGTAAACCTGGGTTTATTTATGCGGTCCTCGTCGGGTAGCGCGTCCCGCGGTAGGACGACGGGGATGTGACAACGTGACGTGGTTACTGCATCGTACGCGTGTTCCTACAACCCTTATATTTAACTATGCGCTGTCGCTGATAAATACTCGTTTGCAGTATTTTAGATAGCAGCTCGATATCCCGAACAACCGAACTCAATCGAGGTGCATTATTTTTTTTTCTTAAAATCGAAAATTTTAATAAAAATATACGACGCTTCCCCATCCTCGTCATCATAAGCAGCTGGCAGTTAGTCGTCTGGTTTTGTTTGCATCGTCAAGCGGGACAAATCGCGCGATGAAAAGGAGAGCGGTCCCCAACGCGGGTGGTTTTGCGAAGTGCGCGGCGTGGATTTGCTCCGCTGTCCGGCGAAAAGTGGTTGTCATTGATATTCCGAACGCATAGCAAAGGCAGAAGCGACCGCGCCGCTTCTCCCCTCTTTTCGTAACCACCCTGCTGCTGCTGCTGCTATACTTCTCTTCGTCGCCGCCGCCATCAGCATCAACGACGCATAACCAGCGGCAGCCACCACCATTCTACCCTTGCTCGTCCGCCGAGGCCCTCGCAACGCAGACACGCACATTCCGATCTAATTCAATTTCCAATCAACAGCCAATCAATTGATTCGAATTCGGTATACAGAGCGGTCGCTCTGCGCGTTCGAGACCTGCATGCCTATGAGGCCGCCCCCCCGTCCCGGTCATACCATCGAGTACGTACCCCGTAAAAGTAGAGAATTAGCTTTTTACGTCTCGTAATTCCGCGGTACTAAGTGGAACGGAGATCCACTGCCAGTATTTTAATTGTGCCACGTAGTCCCCTCGTAGTATCGCATTCCGCACGTTTCCTTTCGCTATGATACATAAGAACTCAACCTTGCAAAAATAAATGCTAGAAGAAAGATAAAAAGAAAGAGATTCAATTTAAAAAAAATGTTAAGGTCTATCGCGGTAAACATTAAATTTAGATATGATAAAGCACTGTCATACATATAATCTTAATTTTTCATTTAATCCGACTGAGAGATTGTATTAATTCTGCAATTTATTCTGATATTAATCTCATCGATTCTTCATATCTGAAACTTTCGCAAAATTATCGCATAAAGTTGATTTACGCGAATAAAGCGTAAAGCTCCGCCGACAAGCGAGCTGTAACGGTAAATGTTTGTCCGGATATGATGCAATAGCATAATCAGCAGGTGACGAGCCTTGATCGAATCGCGTCGAATGTACGTGCCGCGGAATGCACACACGTACAGTCCCAATAGTGTGCCGCTTAGCGATGCATAATACATAACGAAACGTTCAATCCTGTCTCGCGCGGACGTCAATCTGTATTCGCTCGCGCAGTTGTGCTTTTCGGCGCCGCGCGGCCTGCATTCCAATCGCCAAACTCTCCACGTGCGTCGCGACGGACAATCATCCACGATGTGTAATCAGCTTGTTGACGGCCTCCTCCCGCGCGAGCACGCACGCACGCACGTATCTACGACTACAATGGTACTCGTATGTATTTTCGAGCGTGAGCGAATCGCGTAATATTAATGTATTCTACGGGACACACAGTTCTCTTTGGCTAGGAATTTTCTATAGGATGAAGCTATAGTTTTCGCAAACGAATACGCCAGTCTTATGACCGCGTGAAAGGAACTGTCATGCTATCGGGGACTTTGACGACCTTAAGCACGAAACCGTAAACGAGACATGTAAAACAAGAACGCGGCTTTCAGGTCCGGCGCAGATCGGTGCGAGCTACACACACATCTCGTGCATAATGCAGCAGAGCGACGAGTTCACCCGGCAAATGTTGGACGCTAATACATCTTGATGATAGATAGGGAGCATGTGTTTGGTCTTCGCAATGAGGCTGGGGAGGGTGCGGAGGATATTGCGGGGGTGCGGCAGGGAGAGGAGAGGCAACTTCCACGGAGGGCTTCCACGGTAGGGCTGGTAGATGTGCCGGGAGGATCGGGGGATGACTCTCCGGGGGGAGTGGAACTCCACCGAGGGGGTTGGCTAGGTTCGCCGGTGTTCGCTCTCCGCGCGAGTTGCAATGCCGAGCACGTCGCCGTCAGACGAGCGTACGTGCGACACGACTACGCTTTTACGCCACTACCTCTGCCTCCTCTACTTGGTTCCTGACTGCTCTCTCCCGCTCTCTTTTCTCTATCTCTCCGTCTCCACCATCGCCTCCTCCGCTCATCCCTCAGTCCGCCACCCTCGCCCGCTTTCATTTTGTTCCTCCTCCCCGATCGCGAGCTTTCTGCCTGAGCTTTCTGACTTTTCTGTCTTACCCGCCGCGTACCGGAGACATTTCCAATAACGCGCTCCCTTATTCCGATTCGATTTCCGAAGAACTTGTAGAAATTCGTTAATAAGCCGCGTACGTTCAAAACTGAATTTTTTTTCGAATTTCTAAGATCATCAATTCAAATTATCTCTAGTAATATTTTTCATATGCCAAAATTCGTTAATATATCTTTTAAGGTTGAACATCCCGATTTTGTGATTTGAAGAATTTGACATAAGAGATTTGAGATATTTTGTATGTGTTGCGAATGCATATAAATCTTCTAAGATCTTTCATTTAATGAAGATATGTTTTTACTCAATCTATATTAAATCGATTGATATACTCTATTTCGGATAAATATCGATTAATTTACTATTTCAAATAATAGTTTCATTAAATAAGTAAACATTATAAATAAAGAACAATAAAAAACGAGAGAGGGAGAGAGAGAAAAAAAGAGGGAAGAGATCAATAGGATCTCTGCCCTATCAATATCAATCAAATCGCAATAGAGGATCTCTTCCACTGCAGAAGAGGATACACATCTCTACTGGTATATTTACCGACAGTGCATGCACTGTAACGTACAATATGCTTACTGCTGATAAAAGCTATTTATAATATCGTTTCACATTAAAAATAAAACCAAATTGCATCTAAAAGAAAACGCAAATATCTGTATATATGCTACTCAATCCAATTCCATCTAAAAATTATAAATGATTTTTTTCTTAACAATCACTCCCAAACTAATATACATATATATGAAATTAAAAAAATATATATATATAATGCTAAAAGAACAACTTACAGCGATCCTATTAATACGATCATCGAGCAAATGTGGCTCCACAACGATGTCATAATTAAGAAGTCGATCGTGTATGACTTTAATATTTGTTCGCATGGTAGCCAGCATATGATGAAGAGGACCAGCCGCTTGCGCCTGCTTGACTCGTGATGCCAAAGTTTCCCATCTTTCAACCATACCTAAACAATATAATTTAACATTAGTAACATAATATTTTTTTAAACGGATAATAATACTTTACATTATATATGATCATTTTTTTCAAATGTGTGTTTATTGTTTATTCAGATAGTCAAACAAATGTTCTGAATATTAAAAGTATTTTAAAAATGTATCAATTATTTATAGAAAATTGCTAAAATTTTAATTACTTCCTTTTTTTTTTTAAAATAATTTAAAAGACATGTATATAATTTCCAGTGTGAAAAGTGTAGTATATAACGCTATCATATATTTTATCACATATTAATTTAATACACAATAGCATGCAAAACTTTATATTTGCCTATATATCATTATAAATGGCGATAATTTAACATTTCTGACACTCAATGCGCATTCGTGTGATTAACTGTTTCCTTTTCTTCTTCCTTTTTTAAAAACTCTCAGGAAGCAGGTGAAAGGAAGGAAACCAGCAATTATTATCCTATATATTTTTTCATTTCCAAGCTTCTTGAAGAGCTATACTGTTATTCGTAATAACGGTGTTGTGTGACGATTTATATGCTTCTGATCGACCGGTTATGTAAAACGATTGTGGATAAAAAAAAAATCTTAAAGGTCAAGAGGCTTATATCTGTACCGTACGACTTTCATGGCCTCTTTTCTGTTCGTCGCTTTCTTTTATAGAGGCCACTTTTTCCATACCAAAACCGTATGTATATATACAATGCAAATGATATAAATATAGTTGATAAAAAGCAAATAACGGTTGAATGAAAACATCATAAAATTTTAATAATACCTCTAGTTATATCGTTGAAAAACGCATACGGAAACGTTAGAGGAAAAATTCGACATATAGAAAGTATCGTGTGTTTTGAGCTACAGGATACGATCGTACAGAATGCAGCATGAATGTAATAGCGCGTCTAATAAAACTCACATGTGTGGTGCAGTATGAGATACATATATGTACCGTGCGATCGTATGCTTCGTCGCATATGATCGCTAGAGCGTAAATTGGCATCGAATGCAATCCGCCCATACGTTTTTAAACGACGCAACCCACGACGCCCCTTTTGCGGAAACAACATATGCCTACGAATTAACGGCAAATCCAACGTATGAATATAACGAACAGTTGGTATCTAAAAGATATACAGACTGAAAAAGTTTCAAGTTTGATGCGTTGAATGCAATATATATACGCGACGGATGCGAATTTTTACCCAAGCTTCGCGTTCTTAGAAATGTTTCGGCACGGTACACAAACGATAACTTTCCCGAAACTAATCGCGGTTTCGTTCCGGAAAAGTGGAGCGACAATTACGGACACGATTGTCGAGAGTTAACGCGCGCAGTCGTGACGTTTGAAACGACGATATCGCGAGAGAAAGGATGATTGATGGATTTGGCAAGTAACGGATTTGGCGTTACACGAGCATTTATATCATTGTTCCCGACAATGCAAAGTTCCGGGAAGGTGACGGTTAATATAACTGTTGACCTAATATAATCATAGCATTTCGACTGTGCGATATAACGTTTTAAAAAAATATAAAATAAAAGAGAGAGAGAGAGAGAGAGAGAGAGAGAGAGAGAGAGAGAAGGAAGAGAGAGACGCGCAAAATTTGAAATACGCGCCGTTTTTTGATGATGATTCTTATATTATCTCAATTTTCTATCACAATTTTTCTCCTTTAATTTATATATATATATATATATATATAAATATATATATATTTCATTTGGCTATGTTCGACTT